CGCCTCGCCCCGACGGCCTGCTGCCCAAGTGCCCGCGGGGCTCGCGCCGAGCGGCCCAGGCACAGCGCCCCCGGCACCAGGCCACACTCACGTCGGCCTCGCCCCGACGGCCTGCTGCCCAAGTGCCTGCGGGGCTCGCGCCGAGCGGCCCAGGCACAGCGCCCCCGGCACCAGGCCACACTCACGTCGATCTCGCCGTCGTCGATCTCGCCGTCGTCGTCCTCCTTTTTCTTCTCCTTGCCGGCCTCCGGGGGCTCCCTGCCCTCTCCGCCGCGAGCAGCCGCTGTCCCCTCTGTGCCGGGAGCGCCTTCTCCCTTGTCCTCCTCATCCTCGGGCCCGGCCTTGTCGGCCTCGTCCTCCGGCGCGGCGGACGCCGGCTCCTCGGGGACCTCCTCGTCATAGTCCAGCTCGTGCTCGTCCAGCTCCCTGGTGACCGAGGAGGCCTCGTCCCGCAGGTCGCTGGCGCGGTCCTCCTCCGCACGCGGGGGGCTGGCCGGCCCCTGATTCAGCTCCGGAGCCTCAGAGTCCTGGTCCTGGTCCTCCTCGTCGGAGCGGCTCTCCTCTGGCCCCGGGCCCAGCCCCGGGGCGGCACTTTCCTCCTCCTCCAGGTCGGAAGCCCTCCCGGCCGCACCCTCCCCCTCCTGCTCAGAGCCACTCTCCCGCAGAACGTCATCGTCCGACAGCCCCTGCGGCTCCTCTTCTTCATCCTCTGGAGAGCGAGGGTCCCGTTCAGGGCTCTCGGCCACATCCATCGGTACCCAGTTCTGCAAAGGAAGCAGACGCGTGGCCGTCAGCGAATCCGAACACACACTTGCGGGGCCCCCAGCCGGCCCCGGGGCGACCCGCCCGGCCCCCACATCCCAGATGGGCTCCGCGGCCACCCGCCAGGCAGCACAGCAGAGACGGGCCGTGCCCTTGGGGCAGGAGCCTCCGGTGGCACCGTGGGGAGCGGGAGCTGCCTGACGCGCACATGGAGCAAGGCGGAGGCGGACCCCGCTCCGGAGCCGAGCAGCTCTGGGGAGCCTCAGACTGGCACGCCCCAGCTAGCGGCGGTCACCCGCCCTGAACGCGTCTCTCCAAGGACAGTCTGGCTGCCTCACCACAACCAGGGGCACGGGGGTCCCCCATTCTCTTGGTCCGGCTGAGACGCACAGGGAGCGCAAGAGAGCACGGGCAGGGGACCGTTTCAGCGCCGCGGGAGGCAGACGGTGGCGCTGGAGATCTCGCCGCTGTTCTCACGAGCCCAGAGCTGACCGTAAGGTCAGTTTGGGCACAAACGCCCCGTGGCAGACAGGGAGGGTCAGCCCGGGCCAGGGCCAGTTTTTATTTATAACCGCGCCTGCCCCGGACCAGACCGGTGTCTGCACGCGCAGTTCAGTGTTTGCCTGCGTGGGAATTCCACCTGAGCGCACGTGCGGCTCACCGGCGTGCGCGGGAAGAGCCGGCAACAAGAGGAGCTCACACGATTGATCGTAGCTGTCAAGCAGACCGGCTGAGAGGGGTCCGCTTTCCAGGCGCTGCCCGTCTGTCAGAGAGCGCCAGTGCGGCCACAGGGCACCGTGCTCACAGCGCTGTGCCAGCCGCCTGGCCTCCTGGCATGGCAGGGCGCAGGGAGCTCCAGGCCAGAGTGCTGCTTGGCCCCTGCTCGGAACTGCCCCGACAGAGTGGGGGCTGGGGGAATTCTGGCACCTGCGCCCCCGAAAGGACGCCACAGGTGAGCCTGTCCCCCTGGAGCTCCCATGACACCCTCTCCACCAGCTTCCAGCCCTGCAGCTCTGCACCCCCTGCACCCCCAGCCCCCCCAGGCCCCGGCCCCAGGGGTCAGCCTCACTCCCACCCTGCCGGCCAGCAGCGCGCCCCATCCTTACAGAGGGACTCCGGGCCGGACACAAAGTTACTTCTTGAGTGGAAAGACTGTTATGGGAAGTGACCCCTCCCCAGCTTAATCCCAATGAAACCCTCCCTGCCCACCCGGCAACAAACTATCTCCTGGGCACAAACCACCTGAGCTGGCCGGCTCCGGCTCCGCCTCGTTTCACTTTCCCTTGCCTGACACAACCGCCTACATGTCGGCAGCCCTGAGGTCAAGCCCTCTGGTGAGAAACGGAAGGGAAGCTGCAAACACGAGAGTCGGCGCCAAACGCAGGCAGGAGCCGCGCCAGGCGGGCGCAGGCAAGCCCCGAGCGAGCACCTGGGCCTCTGGCTCCAGGGCCCGGCGGGCTCTGGCTCCCCGGTCACGCCAGTGTCCACCTGAAACTGGGGACGGGCAGGGACAAGCACAGCCACGCTGGAGGCTCCTGCCAGCGGGAAGGCGCCGGCCCGCACGGAGCTTCGTCCGCGGAGCAGCGCGGGCTCCGAGCCCTCCCCGCGCGCGCC